ACTTGCTCATTTTCGAAAGAGCGATTTTCGGCCCATTGATTGGGCGAACCGAAAATTCACAAATTCACAGCGAACAGATTTGAATAACAGAGACTTGTCAGATGTCAAAAGCCAGTGACATATTCCAGAGCAACTAGATATTTATTGCTAAATTGCATTCTTCAATTATTACATTAATTTTCTCGGACAATAGAACGGTTTTTATTTTTTTACTCAAAAATGGCGTATCGAAGGAAAACAATTCAAGACAGATCATTTGTTTTAAATTGAACGGGGAATTAAAAATAATTTTTACTTGGCAAAAACCCATTGGCGTACCATTTTTTCTTAAAAAATATCGAAGTCAATACCAATACGCACGCCACTGTTAAAGCTAAAAATTATTTTTGCATTGAAAAATATGCAACTTTATTAAGTTTCACTATGTACTAAATATCAGTGAAATATCTGAAGCAGTTCTGAAAATATTAATTAATTTCCATATTTTTCCCTAAAACATCAACACCCCGAGTTTTTGTGAGTAAACATTTTTGGACCATTAATTTTTCATGTAGATTCACACCCTTAAATATTCGCATATCATTAAGGAACACCCTGTAGAACAAACTCATCCGAAGAAATTAACAGAGCAAAAGTAAACAAGCATACGACAATACCATCATGAGATATCCGAAAAGTTATTATTTAAAAAAGTCATTAACGGTATAGAAAATATCAAAAAAGCTAATTTTCTGATCCGTCATAAATAAAACTTTCGAAGACAACATAATCACTGCATCAAATTTCAAACACAAGATTGCCGACCCTGTAATTGTGTAAATAATCTTCCGAGTTATAACTGCCATACATGATGCAGCAAGTAAGTGCAAAAGAAGCTTACTTCAACTCTTGGAAGAGTGAAACCTCTCATTCGTGTGCCATTGATTTCTGTGCAAGGGATGTTCCTAGAGATGCGCCATAACCCGTGCGCTAGGCCTACTACGTTTTACTACGCTTCCTCTAAATGCAGATGCGCCATTGGATGATCTCCGCACGAGGATATAAATATGAATGACCCAGAATGCTTGATGGAGGAGAATTAGGGAATTGTTGACTGAATTCTTATTGGAAATCTTAATAGCGAAGTCTGCAAAAGCACTCTGGAGTAATGAAGTTAAGAAGATTGATTTGGATTTCGCATGCATTTTTAAATTGAACACACATTGTGGATTTCATTACAACATTTCTCAACATTTTTCTCATGGAGTTTTCATTTTCTACAAGCTTTTATTTAAATTGACCTGCTAATATACAGTTCTTTTCAAAACGTGTCCCCTACGTATTTTTGATTGGTTCAAGTTAGCAAGCTGAAATTCAAAATGATGAGGTTAATACATATATAATATATTTTGGTGTGAAGGTGACAGTTAAAACTTCAATATGGCAGATAGGCACCATCTTGGAACACCTTTAGTTTCCACGCCTACTGGCGGGGAAGTATTGTAATCGTGAAAATATTCGAAAATGAGATATGTTTTCTGGATGTTATACGGCATGTCAATCACGAAAAACCATGTAACTCATTTCCATCTGTCTGTTCACAAGTTCTATAACCGCCTATCTGTACACAATGTTACTACTATGCCAACGAAGAAAAAGTAAAAAATGACCGTTTTTGAAAATCGGTCTACCGGCATCGGAGAAGAAGGCCAAAAACAAAAAAAACAGAAACCGCTCAAAAATCGTTTTTTGTGGTTACAGATGATCTTGATCATTTTTGAACAAAAAATCTGAGGTAAAAAATTTGGGGGCGGGGGTTGTAGGGAGTGGGGAGGGTATATATCAATTATTTGATGTTAGTATATTAAAACTAAATGAAATATTCTTAGCAGATGGATCACGTACCTACCGGTCGCGTCCACCTCTGCTCCTGGCGGCGTGCCGCCGGCCCTGGTAAGTGCTCTGGTATTACATGTATTACTGTAAAACTGGAATATAAAAATTACCATCTTCCAAAATAGCGGACTGACAGGTTGTCAAAGATGAGCGGTTTTGTACCTTGAATCGCTTATAACCCAACAACCAATTATCAAAATGCTTTAGTAAGCTATATCATATTCCTCTCTTGGAAGGGTATATCCAAATATATAATAAAATATGGAACACTCCTTTGAAAAAAAAGAAGAAACTTGATATAACATACTATAATAGCGTGTTGAAGATTAGTTGTTGAGTTATTAGCACTTCAATGTTTAAATTTGGCAGCCCGTCAATTCGCTATTTTGAGGATTATAAAATACTACTAAACAGCTTAGAAATGAGGTATCCCAGTGCCCCCTATTAAAAAAATGTTACAAGATGGTGGCTGGGCTGGAGCTATGAACTGCTACGTTTACGCTAAAATATAGTATTCATGTAATAATATCATCATCTCAAATTTCAGCTTATCAATTAAAATTTTCGCACAATAAGGAAATAAGAAAAAAGATTTTGAATGTCGGTCCAGTGGCGCCGGATCAAAAAACGAAAATACTAAAATCTTCGTTTTTGAAGTTTATGTACAGCTTTGGGCAGGAAGTGCAGAGTAAACCTACTTGACGCCATTTTTAATAACTTAAGGAGGCTATATTCTACACTACTGCACACATGCAATGCATCTACAAACGACGCAATTTTCACCACTCACCAGCAGAATTGATTTTCGGCATTGCACACTGCAGGGGGAGGGAACTGAAGGCGGGGGGCAGATGCGGGAGGTTGGAGGCAAAGTAGGAGTTGAAGGGGTGGGGGGAGCTGCATAGCCAACCGACGGCAGGCTAGCGCGGAAAAACACAGCCGCCCGCTTTGGAGATGAAACTGCATCGTGGCGTAGTTTGATAGTGCAGTTTGGAGGGGAGCATGCGCTATCAAGGGGTAACGGGAGGTGGAGAAGGGAAACGTGTCAAGGAGACGGGGAGGAGAGTGCACGCTGGAGGACGACGGCGCCGCGTTGGAGGTCAACTAAGGTCATCCGAGGGTCGACATTTGGGAGGTGGTCCGGACCAGACGAGCCAAGATTTACCTCATGGGTTTGGTACTGTTACTATGCAGTATTTAGAATCTTTTGCGTGCATTTAGAAACTCACTGCCGTACATGCATTAGCCGAAGCTACACGATGTACATAAAAGCAGACGTTTGTGGTTTCAACAATTAATGCACTAATGATGCCTCATGAATCAGGCTAAAGCTAATTAACAATATGCCGCTTGAAATAGAGGGTAAATTAGTACATCAAACACTGCAGTTTGTTTGAAACTTCTCATGCACTTCGTGTTTCTCGCGCTTACAGCATAGTCAAAGAAATACATATTAGTATTATTTACAATTTTCTGACAAATAGTCAGTAAAATGCATTCAAGGAATATGCAGAATACCTTATCTTACAGTTTGACTGGAACTACTTCTGATACAAAAACCATATGTAACAGTTATAATAACTGTTGCATTGCTAGACGCAACTGTTGCTTATATTTTTACTACAACCGTCCATCTAGCAATAATTTTTTCAAAAATATCAAAGACTTTGCGTATCACTTAAGCTGATCTCATGTTAAAGCACAACCTCTTCTCAATCGACTATTTTAAATAAATCTTGGTAAATCGACTACTCTGTGAGCAATGATATCTTTTTTTGACAAAGCATACAAAATTGCACAACACTTTTGGCAGAGGAGAACACGAGGCCGGATATGACAATTATCTGATATTTCAGTTTCCTCAAGGTTTATCATTTTTGCTACGAGACTCCCTCAGTGGACTCTCAAGTGAACCCTAACTTTACGGGTCGTTTCTGAATGTGAAAGGATCAATTTAGTTTTCAACCACCCACAATTGCAATATAACGCTGAAACAGATCGAGAAACCGTGAAGTGAACTTTGGAACTCTATTTTTAAGACCAATAGTCTTAGTTTATAAATCAAGAGTTAACCCCTGACGGTGCAAAGCTACTCTAATTTAACCTAGGATTTCCCTTACCTTTGAGTTACCACCACTGTGGATAGCTTCCACGCAGCTACTATAAATGAATAATAATAAAAATAATAATAATAGTAATAATAACGTTTATTAAAATTGCATTGCGGATAAGAAACCTTAACAAGAAAAGGTCAGATTTACTTAAGTAAAAGAAAACATACATGATTAAATTAGAATAAGGTGGGAACAAGTTATACAATAAGTAGCAAGAAAATGATGCTTGTTTAGAATTATAAATAATTAAATATAAGAATAAAAAAAGTATGTAGCATAAATGTATGAGTAAAACAACCAATAAAATGGATAAGTGTATGGGTATTTCTCAACAAATTTAGAAATTTCATTTAGCATTTCTTAAAAAAAATTAATGTAAATATATCATTTTTTTGCAGAAATATGAAGTTTTACTTTAGTGAGGTTTATTGAAAATGAAGGTCCTCCATAGTTTTGTGTATAACATGTAGAAAAATTGACTTTAAAAAAACTATGAAATGAGGAATGACTGATAGGATGGAGGAATGATTTTCACAACAATTTGATGCTGAATTTCAATGAAAAACATAAGTTAATTTATTAATAGATGTATTGAGATTTGTTTTATGGTTTAGAGAGCTTAGATAGTCCTTCTTCCCTGGGCACATCCCCATATTTTCATCCTTCTCTAAGAAATTAACAACATCACCCTTAACTTTGAGCATTTTGGTACAGTTCTTTTTGTACGTATCGTTTTGACAAAATGTTCGATCTATATAGCAATTTGGATTTTTCCACTAATTGCAGCTTCAACATTTTATAATAATTTTCTGTTCTCCACTTCCAAGATCTTCATAGTTATTCTTGAGGTCCGTTGACACACCTTCTCCGAAAATCAGTCTTTTTCTTACAATGCCAGGAACTTGTATATCCTTTAAAAGCCAAAACACTTTAGTTGCTGGAGAGATGGGTCAGTACTTTCAGTTTTCAATCTCATACACCTCTTTAGCTAAGCTTGCCTGCGTTCCTAACTTTATCTTCCAAACTTTCAATCTTCGCGGAAAAAATAGTTCGCCGCTTGCGCATTCTATGTCTATTGAGAGCAGACAAATTCTCTGCTCTGGGCTGTAAAGATGGTGCAGGACTTGGTGGGGGTGTTTCTTCAACTCTGTAAATTTGTTTGCAATATAATTCGCTTTTCCCTATAAACTTTACTTCTTCCATTGTTTTCGTTTTTGGGTTTTTGGCTAGCTTCTCTTGCACCCATAGAACTTATTGACATAACTTGACCTTCTTCTTTAAATACTTTAATCTTCCTTTTTTACGCAAAGCTTCGGATTACTTTTCATTTGTTCTCGACTCTTTCTGTGGTACTCCTTTTTTAATTTCTTTTCTTCTTCACTTAATTTCTTAATTTTCCCCATTCTTGATATACGGATATCTGTTGTTAAAATTGAAAACACATGCTATACAACCTGGAGTTAAACAATAATACCCAAACCACAATTTTATATATGCAAAACTCATTCCCTAGTATAATTGTCATTCCCTCACTTTCTAATATTGTAACCGTGAGGGAATGACGGATTTGCATAAACGACACCGTAACCAACAGTACATCACCTCAAATTGATTCAGCATTTTGTGAATGCATTGTACTCCCCAAAACAAGAAAAAATCTTCAAAACATTCGAACAGTATGATGACTTACCTTTTAATAGAAACAGTCAGGTAATGACACAGAGAAATGTAATGTTCCAATTATTGAAATTCAATGCTTCATTGCAGCAACTATTTTCACTATTACGAAATTCCGCCATATTGACATTATTACCAGTATTGCTAAGTTTTAAAAACATAACAGCTGCGATCAAAAATATCAAATGATGTGACCACAAATCGGATATTCATAAAGGGTGAGGGAATGATTTCATTTCAAGGGACATAATGTTTAAATAGATTTGTTTATATACATATTTATTATTTAGCAATGAAAGCTTGACTATACAATCCATATTTATTACCAAATATTTTAGTAATATTCAATTTATAAGAATATGAACAGCTTTGATTGTATATATTTTTTTATTATTAATTTCGGACCTAGGGATAAGATGAAGGAATGACTTTTACACTAAAAAATTAATCGTTTTTTTATGTCAATATTTCATCTAAATTTTGGCTTCTAAAATATTAGTTTAGACTTGATATAATGAAAATGTTAAATTAATGATAAATCCATGCAACATCAATGGATCGGAACATGAATTTCGAAATTTGCTGAGAAAAAACCCATATGATTATCAAGAATTATAAAACTCTTGCATACAGTAAAAGCACTTAGGGTACATGTATGTTAAAAGTTGTTGTTTGAAGACTTTTAAGTCGCTGATTGTTTTTAAGTCGGAGTGCAAATTAATGAATATACAGGGTGTCCGCAAAGTTGGGGTTTTCCTTTACACGACGTGTAGATCTTGAAAACATAAGCAATTTTTCTTGGTACCATATACACCAATGTCTTAAGGGAACCGAGATAAAGGGCTCTGCAACATCAAACATATCTGAATACCGTCCTGTAGCCGCGACATCACCGACTGGTACAAGGTCACTGGCTCAACCCGACAACAGAACTGGGTCGGGGTCAGTGTGTCAGGTCAGTATGCAACCTTAAACCGACGGTTACGGTCAGGCGTGTAGAGGTAATCGCGTAGACGAGAATCCCTCAACAAGCACTAGAGATGTGGCTAGAGAAGTGCAAGTATCAAAAACTAAAGTGTGGCAAACGCTGTGTGAAGAAGGGCTATATCCGTTTCACGTCCAACGTGTACAAGCCCTTCAACCTGACGATTTTCCAGGAAGAGTGCGGTTTTGTGAGTGGTTGTTGCATCAACATGACAATAATCCGGACTATTTGAAGTGCATATTGGTGACAGACGAATCTACGTTCACGCGTAATGGGGTGAATAACTTTCGCAACACTCATGTTTGGTCAGTAGAAAATCCGCACGCTGTCCGTCGAGCACATTTTCAACAAACATTTTCGGTGAATGTTTGGGCTGGCATGGTGAACGGTATGCTCATTGGACCATTTATTCTCCCAAATAGATTGGACGGGATGCAATACCTAGAATTTTTACGCAACATTTTGCCTTCCTTGTTAGAAGATGTGCCATCAAGTGTAAGACAATCAATGTGGTTTCTGCGTGTGCTCGGTAGCGCATCAGCTGATTTCATTTTCTGTTGGAGCGGTATGATTTCGGGCAGAGACGTACTTAGCCCTTCTCGTCAACTGGAGAGTGAGTACTTTTTCCTTTAGTTTTTTTTACTAGGTCGCCCTCGTTTCACTACACATTACCTTTGTTATTTCAAGGGTAGTTGTTTCTGAAAAGGAAAACCCCAACTTTGAGGACACCCTGTAGATCCACATTGCTAGTCTATGACGGTAAGCGCTGACGCTATAATTGTTCAATATAACGTTGTTATGATTCCTTAGATTGGTATCTCTGTGGCTCTTTGAGGTACATACATGACTTTGGAAAGATATTTCACTTGAAGGTAGTCCTCTAGAATCAGTAATGATGACAAGACTCAAGAGGATGCAATGAGTATAAGAATCTGACTATTCTCTTTTGAAGGATAACGATTCGTTGGGCCTCAACAGACGATCCCCAATATAGCACTAAATATTCGAAGTGGCAAATACAATAGAGTAGTAGGCGTTTAATAATTGTTTTTTATTTATTAAGCATTTTAAGTTCCTTAGAACAAAAACTGCTGAATTCATTTTTTGGTTACACGCGCTTCGTATTCTTTCCCGCTCAAATTTCCATCCACTATCACGCCTAAAAATTTTTTTGGGTACTCTATTCAGTGACTTATTGTAACTGTGACGTTGATGTTGATCTGCATTCATTTGTAACCTTTTTAATACGGTAGTATACGGTGAAAATTTTGCATTATGATTTTAGCCTTGCCTTCTTGACCCTCTAGCGAATTTGCTGCTATAGTCATCAGCCAAGGTTACCGAGAAACAATCATTATCATCTAAGTCGTTCACAAATAACAAAAACAAAAATGGTGATAGCAGTCCTCCCTGGCGTACTCCAAAGACACGCCATGTGGATTAGAGATAGTGCTACCCAGCTAAACCTGAATTTTTCTGTTTGACCTAAATGACAGAATCCTTTGATCTACAGAATTTCTGAAACCATGGTTGTTTTTTCGAAAGCTTTTGATAAATAAAGAAATATTGTCATTGTGTAATTGTTGATTCTTATAGATAAACGAAAGCAGTGAAGATGCTGGCGTACCTATCTGCTGAGTGGTTAGTTCGAAAACCATGTTGTTTATCAAATAGAATATTATGGTCATTCGAAGGACCATATTTTGCTATAGTTTTGAGAAGCCAGACAGTAATTATATGGGCGATAATTTTCTAAGAGTTCAGTGCTTGCTTTTTTGGAATCGGCAACACCACATCTATTTTCAACAAATCCGCACAGATATTATGTAAAAAACCTATAAAACGTCACAAAAAAACGAACGAAATGCCATCTTGCAGACTATGAAATTTTTAGGGTGCAAATAGTTCATTCCATGTTTTTTCTTTTTTTATATCGAAACAGCCGCGCAGGCAGAAGCCTAAATGCCGGAACACCGCGGCTGCTATGATGATCCCAAAGAAATTTTGTTAATACGATTTTTGAACTGCCTAAGGTTGGTAGAACTGGGAAAAGCTTCCTCCCGTAGATTGTTCCACAATCTAGACAGCCTCGGGACAAAGGAGCGGTCGTATCGGCCAGTTCTGGATGTACGAAGCTTGACACGGTTAGGATGGGACGCCGAAGTCAGGCGGGTCTGTCTGGCAGGCACATCGCGCGGCGGCATCATGGAAGAGAGCTCTGAGGAGCAAAGCCCGTTGGTGTAGCGATAGAAAAGAGCTAGATCGCCGACGACCCGCCGGTGCGAAAGAGTCCCGAGACTGTCTGTTAGAGAAGAGTCATCGATCAGTCGGACCGCCCTCCTCTGGACAGCATCGAGCATGGACAATGTAGTCGGGGCGGCAGCACCCCAAATGTGTGAGCAATACTCGAGGCTAGGCCTTATCTGGGCCTTGTATAGAGTGAGAAGGTCATGCGGAGAAAAGTACTTCTTAGACCTAAACAAATAGCCTAGCTTTTTCCCAGCAGCTGCAGCTATTAAAGAGATGTGTTCGTGCCAGATCAGGTCCTCGGTGATCTGGACTCCGACCAGCCGGAATGAATGGCTCTTTGGTAGAACTCGACCGTCCATCGAAACTTTATGAGCGCTAGGACGCTTTTTGTTCGTCAAAGTACAGTACTGTGTTTTGGAAGCATTGAACTGTACAAGATTGTTGCGTCCCCAAGCAGTGATAGCCACCAGGTCTCTTGTCAGAGAGGAAGTCGTCGCTAGTCTTCTTTTTTCCAGCTCAGCGGCAGAGATCGGCTTGTCACTCTGAATTCCTCCATGTAGAGTGCTGTCATCAGCGAAGCTGTGGATTGGGTTGATCGTGCAGGAAAGGAGGTCGTTGATATGTAAGAGAAACAGTGTTGGAGCCAAGACCGATCCCTGGGGAACACCCGCGTTGACGTTGTGGGATGAAGAGGAGAATCCGTCAATTACGACGGATATCTTGCGGCCAGAGATAAAGTCAGCCACCCATCTGCAAAGCTTTTCTGGGCCGTAGGATGGAAGTTTGCTTAAGAGGGCAGCGTGCCACAGCTGAGCGAACGCTTTCGTGATGTCAAGAGCAACGACATGAGCCTCACCATGAGACTGGATGAGTTTACTCCACAGTTGCGTGACGTAAGCTAGGAGGTCCCCTGTGGATCGTTGGTGCCGGAAACCGTACTGCCTGTCGCTAATCAAGCTGTGACGTTCGAGGTAGCCCAGAAGCTCGCGATTTATGCACATCTCCATCACTTTACTTATAACAGAAAGCAGAGCTATAGGCCTGTAGTTGTAAGGGTCGGTCTTAGATCCTTTTTTTGGGATGGGCTGTACATGAGCAAATTTCCAGTTTTCTGGGAAGGTGCCGGATTCATAAGATATCTGGAAGAGACGCGAACGAACTGGAGCAAGCTCCGCTGCACATCTCTTCAGTACAATGGCAGGAATCAAGTCCGGACCAGAAGCTTTGTTGATGTCGAGCGACAAGAGCACTCGTCTTACGGTCTTATGCCTGAATGTTACCTCCCGCATAG